GCCGCCTTCAGGGAGAAGCTCTCCATTTGTAGCGCCACCGCCAAGTGCAACAGTCGGAGTGCTTCGAGGGACTCCATCGGTCACATCGAGACCCCCCGCGCCGTCTTACTTCAAGAGCATCGCCTATGTCAGGACGATGCCAGTCAGGAAGCGGCCAAGCAATGTCTCCAGGCCGGCTGGCGAATCTGTTTGGGGGGCGCGCCACGCGAAAGCCTGAGGGCGGCGCGTCGGGCGGCGCGGCCTTTTTGGTCAGATGTTTCCCGGGTTTTTATGCCGGGTTTTTATGTTCCTTCGGGGAGGTTCGATCGCGTCTGGCCGAGCTATCGCTGATGTCTTTCCTGTTCCCGGTGGGGCCCCCGCCACTGAGGTCTTCATTTATGGACTCGACGAGGGCATGTCCGCCCTTCCGATCGACCACCTCGAGGAGGTCGTTGCCTTCCTTTCGCTTCCGGCCAGCCCCATCCATCTTGAGCGGCGATTCCAACGTGGGTCCAGGGGTTTTCTTGGAGCGGAATCTTGCTGAGCACCTCAGAAGAGAAGCGACTTCCCCCAGCGCTATTGCTTGCTCGGAACCTCCCAGAGAACCAGGGGGTGCTTTCGCGGCGTCCGGAGGCTGGGCTCGGCGCATCCGATCGGCGCACGAGTGACCCAATGGGTTCTCCAGCCTCCGCGTGGCCGTCTCCCTGGAATGCCGTCCGCGCGCTGCTCAGTCGCAGTCCTTGGGCCCCGCCCCGGAAGCCCCCCCCGTCTTCCTGCGGCTCTACCTCCTCGACCCCCCTCGCCCGAGAGATCTCAGCGCGGGCGCCGTGCTGCTGGACTTACGCGAGAATGCCCTCTCTCCCAGGGAGCGCCTAGGAGGCCCCAAGAGTGCCCCCAGAGGCTCCCAAGATGCCCCCTCCTCCTCCTCCTCCTCCTCCTCCTCCTTCTCCTCCTCCTCCTCCTCCTCCTCCTCCTCCTCCTCCTCCTCCTCCTCCTCCTCCTCCCCCTCCTCCTCCTCCTCCTCCCTTCTCCTCCTCCTCCTCCCTTCTCCTCCTCCTCCTCCTCCTCCTCCTCCTCCTCCTCTTCCTCCTCCTCCTCCTGTTAGGAACGGGGAGCACTTGGATTGTGTTCAGCACAGCGCCCACGAGAAGCAGGGGGCCAGCCGTCGTGAGGACGAGATGCAGGCAGTCTTTGCGGTCGAGCCCCCCGCACCGTGGAGCCCGGGGCAGGGGCCCCGAGGTCGCGCGGCAGTCTGCTCTCACGAGGGATGCCGAAGAAGCTCGCCACCCTCGTCGGCGCGCTCCTCACGCGGCCACCGCCCGCTTCCGGGCGGCGGTGGTCCTCGCCAGGCCCGTGGCCCACACGTCGGGCGTCAGCGATGGGGGACGTCATCTTGGCCGGGTCTTTCGTCGCTGCGCCCTTTCGTGAGCCTTGAGGCGGGGGTCAATACAGACGGGGGTCAGCCAGGGCGCCAGATCCTGCAGGATCCTGCGAAGACCCCCTCTGGCTGACCCGGTTAGGGAGCCGCTCGTGGCCGCGAGGCGGCCGCGCGTATTGGCTGACCCGGGTCTGCGAAGGCCTGCGGTGCAGTTTTTTTGTCCCTGCATTGCAGTCTTTGGTTTCCTGCTGACCCGGGTCTGGATTAACCCGGGTCAGAAGATCCCCGACCCCTGGTGGCTCGAGAGCGGGTTTGCTCTGGCCTTGCGGCTTTAGAGGCGCACCTAACTGCGATGCAGGAGGCGCCCGGAGGTTGGTCCGAGGAGCGTTCGGCTCCTGGGTGCGCGGAGGGGGGCTGGGGAGCCTCGACGAGGCACAGGAGGTCCTTCGGCTGGCATGCATTCAGCACCAGGAGGAGTCGGCCAAACAGGAATCGCACTCCTGGCTGCGAAGCTCAATCAGGGGGCCTGGAACGCTCACGCGGCGATCAAAGACCCCACACTTGCACCCCTCTCCACCGCCCTGTCTTCCGAGGTGGCGGTGGCTGCTGATCCCCAGAGCTCTTACTCGACCGGCGAGGCCGTCGTTGCAGCCGGCCTTGGCGCGCCAGGGCCACGGCGCCCCCCATCGTCCAGATTCACGCCCCCCCCCTTCGCGCCGCGCATTTTTGCTTGGGGGCGTTCGCAATCTCGGCGGGCCTTACCCCGAGCGAAGCGCGGTCTCCGCCGACGGGGCCCACGTCATGCACCAGCAGCACTTGAGCGACGAGAGTCTGGCAGTGCTGCCACGGTTGTCCGATATCATGGAACATTCGAATGGTCTACCATCTCAGATTCGCGTTGCGCTACTTGCTCGCATCAGCAAGGCGACGGGAGAACACGACCCGATAGGCGCATCCCCATCGCCCGACCGCAGTTGGAACAAGGCCAGGAGACCGCTCTGCGATTAGTGGGGAAGTGATCATTCCAACTATTAGTTGTCTGCCTGCAAGCGCCACGGGGCTCTGGACACCGCCTGGAGGCAGAGTTCCAGATCGGAGCAGGGAGTTCGTCGCGGTGTGCATTCGGACTTGGCGCTCTGAGAT